GGCATTGCCAAGCAATTTCGAAAAACCACTTGCCACCGTTTTACCCGTTCCCGACGCGCCAGAATTTCGTCAAAAGTAAGAAAACGTAAAACAATGAATTGCAAGCGTCCCAGCTGGTGCCTCAGTCACGCAATCATGTTCGCATGCGCCTGAGGCCAACTTCGGCAGGCTTGCTGTTGGGCATGCTTCGTCGCGCGAACGCAGACAGTAGAGAGTTTTAGTAGATCGTTCCCATGACTCCGATAACGATACCCGATACTCCGCCACCGCCTCCCTTGCGCCTGCATAGTATCGTTATCGGGGCTATCGGGGGTATCGGAACGATCTACTAAAACTCTCTAATGTCTGTCCAATCGAATCCGAAATCATACCCCTCAGCTCCGTCGTTAACTTATCTTCAAAATTGTACACAAAATGTAACTTTCGAGCACGCGACAAAAACAGTCCCTTGGCGCGTGCGTGCCAGGCGGGCAAACAAGGTACAAGCTAAAAACAAAAAATAAAGAACCTGAGTGCATCGATGCAAGACATTGCGAGCCAGCTTTAAAAAGTTCTTGGAGTGCTTTGTGCAACGACTGAACTCGAGACAAACAAGCACGCTGTGCTGGTTCAGCGTGCAGACATTGCCTTTTGTGCTTTAGCTCACTTCTCTTCACCAACTTTCTTTCACGACAGATTTTTCACGTATCGATTTCCCTCTCGAAAGAAGGCCCGTCGAGAGGAATCTAGATAATCAATACTTTGACAGAGCAGTCTTTGAATTAAAGATGAATATCTGTAGTAACGTATGATTTAAACAGGAACAGGAATGTTGATGAACATGCGGCGGTACTTAGGTTGATTTTACAAAGTACCATATCTGCAGTGATGTGGGGACGGCAACATTCGACGTCGCCCGACCACGGTGACTGAAAGGCACTGACCAAATATAGTTTTCCCACGGCCGTTGCCTCAGCTCACAAAGTAACTCCTGCCGCGCAAACACGTGGTTTGGTTTCACAGCATGACGGCATCACTGGTACCCGGCACGCTAGCGTGCGAGACGCCGGGAAAACCATGCAAGACCCGGTGGACAATTGACGCACAGTACCTTGTGTCAGGCGGCCGCTTGCCCCACATAACACACGCCTGCTCAATTACAGTACTCAGTTTAGTTTCGGTTTCGAAATGCGACCTAAATTGCTCCTTTGGCGCAGGCTTGGCGCAAATTACATATATTTTGGCGAAATGTAGCAGGATGTAGCAGGGTTAGTCCCTTGGCGCAGTTTGGCGCAATTGGCGCAGCAATCACATCACTGGTGTTTGGACCTTGACCCTACCTGACGTGTCGTCTCTTCCAGGGCATTCCCACCCTTGGGCCGCCGGTGCTGGCCTCCCCACTTCGGCATGCGAGACCTCGGCTTTCCAGCAGGCCGCCTCGACCCTGCTTCATTTCCTTCTTATTTTTGTTGGGCTCTTCGAATCACAACAAACTTCATTGTGTATAAAGTTCTCTTCGCACTTATGATGGACGACTTCCGCAAACCACGTGCACACAATGAACGGAATACAATCGCGAGGCCAACGCTGACGAATATGCTTAACAGGCTAAACTACTGACTGCAAGAAGCGCAGAGACCAAACAAAACAGCTTCGATGGAGGGCATGGCAATGCACCCCCTTTCGCAACCTGCATGGATGCGAAAGTGGAAAATGGCGGTATGTGCTGCCATCTATTTACTGACATTGAAACCAAGCGCCAGCAGATGTTTGCGGCTCAGGCGCTCGGCGATACCGGCGTCTCCGATCTCAAATTTCTTGTTGGGAGGGGGATGCTTACATTTGCATGCAAACTTTTTTTTTTCAGGTGTTTATGTCTGAAAACGTGTGTGTGTGTGGGGGGTGCTTAGAATCACGAAAATATGTTAATACACACAAGTTCTAAATCTTCATATGGTAGCATGTTCTCAAAAATAAAAGGTGAATCTCTACTTTTTAAGAATTTTTAACACATCTTCACCCTTAAAAACACTCGGAAATGCGTAACGAAACATATTGGTTAATCTAGAATATATTGACTAACTAAAAACTTAATTTGCAGTCTCGTTTCAAACCTTTTTTTGTGTTTTTCACCTCTTGGGGCTTTTTCTCAATAAAATGCAACGTGTCAAAAAAAAAAAAAAGTTATTGCTAAAATGTTCTGTGGAAGGTACATTTACATCCTGAATAACAAATACAATTCTTTTAGAACAAATCTGAGCAGGTTCAGTTTAGGCCTGGATTGTATGGCATGTAAAAGAAAAGCAAGTCAAGATATAGAAAGACACCAAGGACACATGCATTCCTATGACCATCTCTAGATACAGGATGTTTCAGTTAACTTGTGCTAAGACTTCAGAGAACAAGTGTCAAAGGAATGCAGTATTGTTCAGTCGTATTGAGCGAGTCAAGATATCTTTGCGATGCACAAAACTCGATTAGCTAATGTTTTGTTAATACTAATTTGTGCACAAACCCAATACACAAGTTGTAGAGTGTTGTAAGTCACGTAGCATTGTGGCATTTCCATTGAAGTAACTTTTGTGTAGAGTTTTTCTAGCTTTAAAGAAAGCGCAAGACTTTGAAAAATACCCCGCAACTACCAGCTAGCGAAGTGAGACATCAGTGCCCTTATGGTCACGTGGAACTTTTAAATATTGCGCGGTTTCTTTAGAGCTTGAAAATATTACACACGAAGGCTGTCTTGATGCATGGAAATGACATAGTGGGAGTTTTCTCGACAGTCTACAACTTTTGTATTGGGGGGTTTATGCAAATTAATATTGAAAAAGTTGGCTAATTAATTTGTGTTAATTAGCCAGTTCGGCCCATTGCAAATCAATATCTTGACCTGTTCAACACAACAAGTGTGAACAATACTACACTGGTTTGACATGCAGAGTGCATTTAAAAGCACAAGTATGCTGAAACTAAAACAAATTACAGGAGTACACTTAAGACAACCTACGTATAGAAATGCACTGCATGTAGGAATGCTTTTTGCATTCCTACATGTGAGCAGTCTTAAGTGTACCCTCTCTCCCCCAAAGAGGGGGGAGAAAGGGTACACTAGGTCCGACATGTGACCCAAGAGAGGAGGGGGGGGGAGAGGGGCTGCCAAGCGCATGCCGCTCTTCTTAGTTGCTCGCTCACCGGCACCCTCGCTTTTAATGTGAAATAATTGCTCATTTCTTGCAGTCACAATTAATGCCGGCGGCGCTCCATACAACCATTAAAGCTTTCGCATTAAAAAAAAAATTTGAACAGGCTCGATTGTGTAGACAAAGGCCAAGGAGCACAGAATTTATCCTACACAGTGTGTCGTTCATGCTAGACTTTAAATATATTTTTCTATTATCTACTTTCTGATTTATTTTACTATATCACTATATTTTCTATTTATTAATTTGATTAGTGTTGTGCGAATATTCGAATAGTACTTAGTACTTTTGAATAGTATGCTATTTGTTATTCGCTCAGAGATGAACTGTGATATTCGTACTCAGTCTTAATTACAGTAGATCAGAGCAAAATATAGAAAGTTTGAGCATTTATTGGGAAGAATACGAGGCAAATGAGGAGGCGCCATTGGCTGAAAGCAGGCTGTGCATGTTCCAGGGCAAGTTCACAAATTAGGATGTGGCCAACCGAAAGCTGCGGATAATACCCTGGCGGCAGTCGCCAGAAACAAAAATTAGGAAGTGCGTCGGAGTAACTCTCGGTGACTGAAAATATAGTGCAAGTGACGCTTCGATCATGGCACATAATCCGTACACCAAACGCCGAGCGTCTGCTGTCTTAGCAAAACATAGTTTGAGCGGCACATTTATTGCTTTTATCTTTTTGCATGACCATAATCCAAACATAACATGCACCATATTTTCAACCATGGAGAGTTAAAACATTTACCTCTTACGGCCTCATTAAAAGTGTTTCTAACTACCTCTGCTAGGGGATTATTTTCGGCTTCTAGTTTGTCAAGAGAGCGTGTTCAGCCCTCCATCTGCATCTGGTGCATGCCCTGGCTCTGCCCACTCCCCTCACTGACCAGACTCTGCCTATACGGCTCTGCAACGGGCGAGACCCGCTGAGTGCACTTCTCACCGAACACCTCTGCACCGTGGGGAAGCAATAACCGCAGTGCACGCAAGTGTTGCTTCCCTACAGTGCACAGGCGCTCAGTGAAAAGCGCACTCAATGGGAATAACCAACCACAATTATGCATATGGCTTACGCAGCGAAGTCTTGAAAACCAGCATTCGAAATTCACTTTTTTAAATCTTTTTGCCAAATTTGAAATTGGAACAACACTTATGTATAGCAAACAAATTTCCTCTTGATTGGGATAGCCACAATGAATTTGACATTTGCAAGCCACAATTTATAAAAAAAGTTACCTGGTGTATTCAAACTAACCAAGCTTGAAGTGGGCAAGTGGAAGGTTAGGAACAATCTTTGCGAGTTAAGCTAATTTTTATTTAACCATAGTGCACGGTAGTCAAGGGCTTGGAGAAACTATTCTTTATTAGATTAAAAAATATTAGGTCAAAACCGCTATCCACTTTGAACTCAAAAAGCACTATTCACATTAGTGCCTACATTTTTTTTTTTTTTTTGTCACAATTTTTTCGCATTTATACTTTGCTACTGCCGGCGGCATTTTTGCATTTAAATAAAACCACTGACCTATCCATACGAGCTGCACTAGTAGCTCAGTGGCTGCAGCATCCGACTGCCACTGCACCGACCCAGGTTCGAGCCCCGCCAGTGGTTCGAACTTTGTACATAATATGTATATATATATATAACCACAACGTCTGTAAAGTTTCAAGAGTGCAGCTCGATACAACGCTCATTCATTACAATTTTTTCATAGCGAACGCTGAATAAAACACGTGTTAAGATATGATGAGATGCATGCAAACAACTTTGAAAGTGCTGCTCCTGGCAGCCCAGTGGTAAAGCTGTCACAGGCAACTCACAGAAGTCCCTTAAGCAACATGGCCTGCTTCTCTTGCATTCCATCCCAGCACTCCATGCCATGCTCATAAAGGTCCAGATACTCCTCGGGAGGATGGTAGAAGCCAAGGGGTAATATGTATCGCAGGTCAGATACGGGTTTACTGCAAACAAGTTAATTGTCACGAGTCTCAAAAGACTGACAATAAACAGGGAAAAAGATGGCGACAATCAATTCACTGAATGCCCTTTAAGTCTGCAATGGATGTGCCATTCTCAAAAAGTAAATTAATTGAAGCAGTACTCACATGACCATTATTGTAATGAACATGCACATGCATTTCTACATTCCTTAGTGTTTTTAATGCGTTCCAAGATAAGAGGATAAGAAGGCCAAGCAGATGCACATGCTTGAACATGCCCACAGCTCCCTGGACTATGCATCAGAAGCTGTTACATGACTGAAGAAAAATACAGCAGTGAAATAGTCTATGAAAACTTTTTTTTTGCCCATTTGGAAGCATAGCTTAGACCCTGCAAAAACCTTCAATTTCAGTCATGGTCTCAATGAATCATGAGTGAAGACAATGCCTGTTGCACAACAATGACAGTCTCATCTAGTCTGGGCAAAATCCAGACTATCCGAGATTATTAGAATCCAAGAATTGAACGGGCTAGCCTGAACCCATCAGACAAGACCAGGAACTGTCCACTTGCTAGCGTGAACCCATCAGACAAGGCCAGGGAACTGTTCACTTGCTAAGTGTAGGCATACGCTACGCCATTAGTGCCTGAAATTAAACTATCATATTTGAATTGGGGGACCACAATTGTGCACAATTTATCTACAACCACCACATAGTGTTTGAACGCCACTTTTGAATTTTTACTCTTGTAATGCTGTTAAATTTATTTACCCTCTATGGAACCCATCATCTCTAACAGGTTCAGGTAAATAAAGTGTAACAAATGTAATGAAGGTTTTGTTTACCTTCCAAGTACATAGATTCCAGCTAGGAGGCATACAAAGGTACAAGAGACATGGTCATCATTTGATATGGTTGAAATAACCTGTTTAAAAAACGTTTCATTCCACGTCTTTAGTAAAAGCACATAGAATGTGCATGTGTATCAAAGGCATGCAAATCATACGAGAGTGAGCCTAATTCCTTCTTTACTCCATTGAGAGTGTGCACTTATAAATATTTCTTTAGTGATGTGACAAATATTGCGTCTGTTACAAAGACATTGCGAGATCTTAAAATGATCTTTGCGCATTCCTAGAGAAGCTATCAGTTTGCTCTCATGCTAAAATATTTTTCTACACAGTTTTCCTAATCTGTCTAGTGCTATTTTTTTTTATCAGCATTTATTTGTTTACCTATTCTACTACAAATACATGGTTACAAGTATGCATTCCCACCAAAGTCATACACTTGACCTGAATTCTATGTAGATAAAATACCTGCCAACCGGCCAACTAAAATCCAGAACTGGAATGATGCAATGCTTCTCGAATTAAAACCCTCGGTAACAATTCACAGAAGTGTATAATGTCATTGGCTATGTAAAACGATGATAAAATTGCAGTTTTGTGCCTCAATTATCTCACTGTTGCATACACCAAGACCCGGATCTGAAACTACGCCGCTGCTATGGCACTACTGTCGCACGGAGCATGCGGCGATGCTCCAGGTTACGCGAGTCTGGTTTCTATGCACGTGCAGTGCCCACACCCGGTCTGTGCAAGTGCCAGCTTGTTAGTAAACAGTGCATTGGTGTATATTCAGACATTTTACGATTTTGCTTGAGCACCAATTAGACTCTTTGCTAAAAGCATTTCAAAGCATAAATGACCTCGCATTTCTCGAGCCATAGCAGAACACAAGAAATTTAGGCAAACCACACGTGCAGTTCCAAGTACATAGCTCGACACTAAAAAAAAATGGCTGGAACTCGACTAGTGTGCAGTCACTGAAGCTACAAATGAGCTTAAAGATCAGACAAAACTTGTGTTGAGAAAGCATTGCATCATACGTGTACCAGAAGCATGTTTCAGAGTTAGTGCTCGCACTTTCCAAAATGCTTCAGAGGTTACCCGTTGAGGACTTGAAGTCAGATGGGCTTCGAGTCCTCAACCTAGAATAGCCTCATCAGCACGCTGATAAAGTTCTGATCCTGTGTGTCAACCACCAATACCTTGCATGTGTTGTGTACAATAGAAAATAGCGTGCCTGAACCTGTCCCCATAGGTTGGGAGCCACCCTAAGGAAACAGAAAATTTGTGCACTTTAGCACGAAGGGTGTGTCCTGTAAGCATTATTTATCTACAACTAAATTTCAAGATTACTGCATTGTCTGTTCTGGACTATGATGATCCAAATCGTATTAAAGATAAAGACATACCCTTGAACAGATGCCTCGACAGCACATCGAGCTTTGGGAAGTCCACGTCCAAATCCCCTGAAATTCCTGAAGCCAATTCTTTGTGGGTTGTGCACACAAAAAGAAGGCTGATAACCCTTGCTGCCATTGCAGCCATGGGTGCTCTTGAATCCATTCACTGCCAAAGGTTTTACAGGAGCATTTTTGTAAAAGTTCACTTCCAAAAACTCCAGAGAACTGTTTCTGGAGTACTCAACATCCACATCCTGCACATAGCGGCTTTTAGAGCGGTTGACTTTCAGAGCTTCCCCAGAGGTGTTCTTGGAGTAGTTAACTTTCAAATCTTCCACAGAGTCATCCTTGGGGTATTCGACTTTTGAAGGTTCCACAAAAGTGGAACCTCCAAAAGTGGTGGTGCTTCTCGAGAAGTACTCAACTTTTAAAGGCTCCACAGAGATGTCTCCAGACCAGCCCTTAGACCAGCTGATGCCTAAATTCTCTGCAGAAGCAGTTTCGGGGCAGTTGACCACCAAAGTTTCCACAGGTGTGCTCTTTGAACAGCTGAGTTCTGAAAGCCCAACACTGACAGAACAGACATCTTGCAAAAGTTTAGCAGAGGGAGCATCTTTGGAGCAGTCCTCTTCCAAGACTGGTATAGAGGTATTCTTGAGGATGTTGATTTCCAGAAGTTCCATGGAAGTATTTTCAGAGCAGCTGACTACCAAGTGTCCAACACCTTCGGAACAGTCATTTTCTAGAAATTCAGCAGAGACATCTTTGGAGCAGTCGTCTCCCAAAACTGGTAGAGGGGCGCTCTCGGGGATATTGACTTTCAGAGGTTCCACGGAAGCATTTTTAGAGCAACTGACTTCCAAACATCCGACGCCTTCGAAATAGTCATCTTCCAAAGCTTCGGCAGAGGCATCTTTCCGTTTGGAAGATTTTTTGGAAGAGGTGCAGTCCTCTTCCAAAACTGGTGCAGAAATATTCTTTGGAATGTTGGCTTCCAGGAGTTCCAGAAAGGTATTTTCAGAGCAGCTGACCTCTAAAAATGTTAAAACAGTAAACTGCTTTAAGCTGGAGCAACCCTGCTGGAAAGTAAGGGCCAAGGGAACAACAAATGTTCCAGTGTCTTGAGAGAAACATTGCAAGCCAATGGGATAGCTTGATCCAGGTGCAATTATAATCTGGAAGGAAAATAATGCAACCAAAACATTACCAGCCTGCTATTGCTCGCAAGACTCTGCTATCACAACCACTGCAGCAAAGAGTATGTATACACATACTCTGTCTTACCTTAGCTTCAAAACAGCCTGATAAATTTAATACAGTAAAACTTTCTTTTCGAGTGCTCCTCAATTCTTACGAGTCTGGCTATTCCAAATAAATTTACGGGTGCACATATTAAAATCTGAGGTTAACCCCCTCACGGCAATTTTTTTTTTCTTTTTCTTCTGAATATTTACCCAGAATTTTTTTTTTTTAAGGGATAGCATTAAGAATAAGTCAATGCATAGCGTTTTTAAAACCATCTAACAGGAGCATGTGAGGTGCTTACAAGCTGTCAAGATTGAGAAAGCATATAATGCAAATATTAATAGCAAAAAGTTGTCGCCTTTCTTCCATTCAGTTTCATCTTCGCGCGTCCGCTTCCCGTGAACATTCGGGCGGTCTTAGATTTTGAATCGAAGGTACTTTGCAGAGCGTCTACACTTAATGACGAGTTTTCATTCTCCCTTTATATTACACAAAATTTCATAACTATGCACCAAATAGTTACGTTGATATAAAATATTTTCCAACACATTGTAAGTCAGTAACAAAGTAAAGGAGTACAATGTCTGAATGCAGTTTTCTCAGTTCCGCTTTTTGCTGCAAATTTCATATGAAGGAATATTTTGTTCGAAGGTAAAATTAATCCAATACCACAGACAAGATGTTTTCGAATTGAAATTTACTGGGGAATTGGGCTATCTACTTTATTTGGTTTAAAGTTAAAGTCCTCATTGAGAAAAAAACCATGTTTTCAAAAATTGACACATAAGAGAGATGCATCTCATATTTTGAGGTAAACACTCTTCTTGAAATATTTACATTTGAGTTATAAAAACTAGATAGCCCGAAGTCCCACATTCCCCACTTTATATCCAAGCAGTTAAAATTATGCTTAATGGCTTCATTTGGATATCATAGATTTCTTAATTAACGAAGAGTGACACATCTTGTTATGCAGGTATGTAAAATTGTACTAGAGAGCTGAAAGTTTGCACAGTACACCTGCATCTGAAATTAAATCTCCCCTGCAAATTTCATTCCGATCACTTCAGTAGTTCAACCTCTAGCCAGTGTACCCCCTTAAGCATTGAAAGTCTGAATTGGAAGGGCCAGATCTCCCCTTTCCAAAGTCCACAGGAGCAGCCGACACACGAGGTGTGGGAACTTTCCAATGTATCATTGCCGCTGTATACATGATACGGCGGCGACTATACGTACATAGGCTTCCGGGTCACCGTACGTGTACGGTGACGACCGTCAAAAGGTTAACAGTCAAAAGGTTAACAGACGCTTGGGGACACAAGCTTTTGTTTGTCTGTAAAGCCCATGTATACAAAGATAGAGACAGAGCATAAGACCTATTTTAAAATAGAGCTTTATATAAATCAAATATGGGTTCAGAGACATTGTGTCTTGTTCCATCCTTTTATATGTTTATTTTTCTTGCCTGTCTCAGGCTAAATTATGTAAAGAATATGTTTGTTCGTATACGAGCTCAAGTGTTACTAAAAACTGAATTTAATGGGTTTTTTATGACAAGTTTCTAATTGGAACCACATGTCTATTTTCACAAATTTAAAAGTTAACAAATTTTACTGAATTAACTGACTGATCATTACGATTAGCTCTCTATACTATGCCCCAATAGCCGTCTCAGTCGCCTGTAAGAACCACAGAAGTGTAACTTTCATTTTTTTTTTTAACAAGTTTTGTTTTATAAAAAGCACCCTCTATACTCCACTATATGAACACAATTTTCAAAGACTCACTGGGTAAACAGATGCATTTTTTGTTCCGTTATTCTGGAGACTCACCTTAGACAATTTTTTGGGGAACAAAGGTGTTTATATTAGTGAGACATTGCTGTATGTCTGTGTTAAGAGTGGGACCTTTGCTAAGAGTGGAGACTTGGCCAAACCAGCTACTCAAAAAACACAAAAAATATTGAACTGCACAGTTTTGAAACTCCTCTAAACCAATGGAGGCCCTTAGAGTACAAATTGTGCAGGCAGATGAGTATGATTCCCCTTCATTATGCTCTTAATTCTACACAACTGTGAACATAGACAAATTGAGCAAAAGTGAAATGCGAGACAATGAAAGATGATGATCATGTCATTATTGTTTAGGAGATCAGTGGCCACCACGAAACTGGTAGCCAAGCGTGTTAGCACACTGAAAAATAAACCATAGATGCACTAACTACTGATGATGCATTGTAGGCAAAAGGTTTCAGTTAATGAATTTGTGTTGTTCTGTTATGTAAAGTCAAATCCTTACTTCAGTTATGACCTTAGTTCTGGACTATTTTTGCAGGAACAGAAGTATAAAGCGCTGAAAACAAAAGGACCAAGACGAAGTAAGACTATGCAAGGCGGGCTTATACTTTGCTTACAGGTGTCATGCAGCACTGTGTACATTGGCGAGACGAGCATATGCATGAATGACCATGCATGCATGCGAGCTAGCTCTTCTGGCCATCTTGCCAATCACTGTAGTAGATGCATGTGATTGCTATTGTTGCATGATATTAGGATTCTAGCCCGATACAAAAACAAAAAAAGCAGAGAATTCACGAATTCGAGACAAATGAACATATCGTGTAAACAAAACATCAATCACCCTAAAAAAAAAAAAAAAGTTTAATTATATTAAAAAGGTTTTACACAGAAAAAAAAAAAAACACCTGTGTTGTCTTGCTTTGTATTGGTCCTCCCGGTGCTTTATCTTTTTTTAAGCTGTGAACGAACTAGGTCAATCAACCACTTTGCTGCAGGAACAGAAGGCTATATTTTGAATTCACTTACCTCTTTGTCTCCCGCAGCGAGATCAGTAGGGTCGCTAAAAGCAACCAGCGGCCCAGGATAGAGCAATGCACATTCCAGGAGCAACACGTAAGGTGTCGATCCACTGGAGACACGGATGAACACTTTGAACCGCAGCTCCTGGTTCTGCTGGACCAGCAAACTGATGCCCGTTCGATCCCGTGTCTCCGAACAGGACACGGTGATGTTCTTACCCCGTGCAAGTCTGTCCCTGTAATAGCATTTGTAAGACCATAAAAATAAATTAAAAGATGATGCATTAATGATGTCTCATTAATATAGACACCTCCGTTTCCCCCAAAGATCGACCATATTGTGAATTTTCTGTAACAATACAAAAAGGCAGGCATTTACTCAGTTTATCTCCAAAAAATGCTGTTTACAAGGCAGTGTATCCATATTAATGTGGCCCTATTAATTAGACATGGCTTTATATACAAACTGTGCGAATATGCATTCTGTGTAATTTGGATCTAAAGCATAGTATTAAGGTGTTTACATTCCTTGGAAGGCTCATGACTTACTTCCGAGTAGGTTGCTCATGCAGTATACATCTAAGGGCTTTACAGTCTTTTGAGAACAGAGTGCTACAAGGTTACTTTCCACGAGGGGACACTAACAATATATGTGCATGCCCCTCCAGAAAGCAGACATCACCATTCACAAATTCAAGCTCAAAAGAAATTTGCAGAACTAAAAAATCCCCGCATAATCCCAAGACAGCTAGTAGGAAATCGCCTCTTGCCGGTACATTCATGAGCATGCATTGTTGGGTTAAGCTAAATGTAAGCAGAGCACTCCACAGATTGGTCTATACCTTTTCTCTGTGAAGCAGAGGGCATGCAGACCTTGTTCATAAAGAGTGAAATAATTATTCATGAGATAGACCTGTATTTATTAAAAACGTATGCCTCACATTTTATTCGAGCAATGTCAGACACAAATGTTTTGATCAATTGTAAAATACATAGCAAGCACCCACTCAATATTTGGAGATAATCGTGGCAAATTGTGGATGGAGACTTGGGCCTGCTAGGTCAGAGCGAAATTTCAGAAGGAGCACATGGTCGGATGGTCCCTTCCTGGGTCCGACCACTAAACTCGGAACGGCCATCGTTTCCCAAACCAGTTGAGTATACCAATGCTTAAAAAGCAGAATGTTGGCATTATTTTAGTTGAAAAATAAAGCGCCCTATGACACTAAATGCAGTTATTGCATCAGCGATACTTGCAGTGATGTGATTGGTCAGTCATTTTGAAGCAGCAAAAAGGACATTTGAAGCAAAAAAACACTCACTTAATTTTTCTTTATACCATTGCTAATATATGTTCAAATTCATCTGTTGGCCTGTCCAACTACAAGACAATGTCTCTTTGCCTTCCCACTTGCATGCAACTTTTGTTAGCATCAATTGTACAGCAAGATTGATTCCCTCAAACACAGAACTAGCCATTTTGCTCCGTGCAAAAGCACAACGCACCAAACATATGCTGACAAGGAACAGTATGACATTTCGAAAAAAAAACCCGAGACTGGGACAATAAGGGACGGGGTTTCGAAATGTTTAACCACCACCAGCTCGTTTGTGCCCTTACCTTTTGTTCGCTAACAGTATGAACTGCTGTGAATAGTTATTTTAGGTATGGAAACAAAGGTAAACCAACTAGTATATTCTACAGAAATATTGGACTAGAATAATTTTGACCAACCAAAACTGATATTTCATTCAAGTTTGGGTAATTGCAGTGATGTGATTGGCCTAAGCCGTTTCGGAGCACCTTCTGGAGCAGCCAAAACAGAGTTTTGGAGCAGAAAAACTGGCTTTTGGAGCAGCTAAAACAGTGCTTCGGAGCAACGAAAGTGGCTTTTAAAGCAAATATTCTTAGAAAAAAAAAGATATTAATTTCAAGTGGTGGACAAACGAAGGACACATTGCTCGCCCCAATCAACCAATTATTGTCAAGATAGACCACCTGGGAGTCTCTTTCAATATATAACTGAAATGCCAATGACATAGCACATTTCGCAATGCTTCAGTTAAATGATACGAATATATCGGACCAAACTGCACAAATTAAAATCTATTTGAAACTAACCAGCTTAGCAGTAACTAGAGAGTTTTAGTAGATCGTTTTCAAAGGCCCGCTACCACTCCAGGCGCGCTTCGGAGCATGCATCGAAGGGGGGGTAACGAGAGCTCCCGCTATAAATAGCGTGGGCCGAAAACACGATCTACTAAAACTCTTTATTATCACATCATTATGTTGACTAGTAATATAATAAATGGAAGCAGTCTCCAACTGATGAAACCCGTAACTACTGCCGTGCAATGCGAAATTGTCGCGCGAGCGAAGATGGCTGTTCGATCGAAACCATGCCACTCCGCTCCGTCTCCAACTAATTCCCAAAATTGAATGCAAAATGTAACTGTCCAACATAAGACAAAAAAAAAAAAAAAGAAACAAAAAGTCCAGCGGCATGTGCTTGCCAGGCCGGCAGGCAAGCACGTGCCTGCCGGCCTAACAAGCTAAACACAGAAAAAAAAAGAACCTGAGCACGTCGATGCAAGACATCGCGAGCCAGGGTCAAAACGTTCTTGGGGCGCTTTGTGCAACGACTGAACTCGAGACAAATAAGCACGCTGTGCGGGTTCAGCATGCGGACATTGCCTTCTTTGCTTTATCTCACTTTTTTTCACCAACATCTTTCGCGGCTGATTTTTCACGTACCGGGGTACGTCTCGAAAGAAAGCCTACCGAGAGGAACCTAGGCAATCAATACTTCGACACAGCCGTCTTTGAGCTAAAGGGATGTTTGTAGTAGCGTATTAAACAAGAACAGGATTGTTGATGAACATCCGGCAGTCCTTACGTTTCAGTTTAGAAAGTGCCATAACTGCAGTGACGTGGGGACGGCAACACCCGACGCCGCGTGACCATAGTGGCTGGCAGGCAGGGACCAAATATAGTTTGGCCAAGGCCGTTGCTTTTAGGAGCGAGTGCTTCAGCCCATAAAGTAACCCCCGCCGCGGAAAAACATGGTTTCGTTTCACAGCATGACGGCACGGCTCGTACCCAGCACGCTAGCGTCAGAGCGTCCGCACACGCCCACGTCCATCATCAAAATTATTTTTTTTTTAAAAGACGCCAGACGAGAGACGGCGGGAAAAATCATGCAAGACCGGATGAATGATTGATGCAGGGTACTTTGTGTCGGACGGCTGCTTGCAGCACCTAGCTCATGAGTGCTCAATTACGGTACTCAGTTTAGTTTCGGTTTTCGAAGGCGACCAAAATTGGTCCTTTGGCGCAGGCTTGGCGCAGATTATCCATATTTTGGCAAAATGGAGCAGGATGTAGCAGAGTTATCCCCTTGGCGCAATTGGCGCAGCAATCACATCACTGTAATTGTAATAAAGTAATTAAAAAAAAGTTATCTTTACTTTGGGTGGAACCCCAGCTTTTCCCATGGTTAATGCAAAACATGCCAAAACTTTTTTGGGCTACATTCAGTCCAATAAGTGCAATGCAACAATAGCTATAATAAAAAAGATTTATCCTTCAATAACACACGAGACACCAAATATTCACCTCGAAAATAAACCCGCTTAACTGAAAAATCGCAAATTACGTAAACCAGGGACTCTCAAATATGTGTCTCAAAGACCTCCCTCCCCCCAGCGCTTGCTCGATTTTCAAGCAAGTGCTGGTTTTTTTGCACTGAAAAAGCACTATGCTTCACAGTTTTTAACCAAAAAAACGCTAATAAACATCCGCCAGCGACAGAAATAAAAATTGTTAAAAACAAAAAATACCGGTTTCTAAATGTTTACCTGGCAGTGTTGTACTTGTTTTCACTGAAAAAGTCGTACGCAAACTTCCGTCAAACGTTATCTTGCCCAGAATCATGCACTTTGCCTGTCTTTCTTTTGTGACCTACGTGATCTTGAACTACTGGAAGACAGTAGCTTTGTTCCACTGTTCTCCAAGGTCAGCGGTCCTCCTAGGCCATCAACCTCGAAAATCATTAGTAACCGAAGAGGCCAGTCACAGCCGGTTCTCTTGAGATGAGAACCATCTCAATGCCCTTGTTTTATTAAAGTCAGAACGGGAGAACAGTGATCGCCATTGGTTGGGTGCTGAGAAAGAAAGGAGAAAAACTCTTCCTTTCTCGTCAAAAAATTTCTTTAGAAGTAACATTTGAAGTTCCGCCCCACACGAACCAGATTAATGTCACCAGGATGGGAAGAAAGCGTAAAGCTCCAGATGATTACCCTAGAGTTTGAAGATTTTGTTGTGTACCAACCCTTTGTACATGCTGTGTAGTGCCGGGTCACAGTCAGCGTAAAAGATGGGAAAGCCGCTACGAGGATCACGAAGCACATACCGACGCATCACATTCAGCTCAAGAAACATCATCTTGATGAATGGAAGTACTTTTTTCATACCATGTCTTCATTTGATTTAGAATTGGAAAGCTAAGTGAATGTATTACTCTGGAGGAATGCCCGTCACATCTTGGAATGCCTCTATAATTTAAGCTTTTTTTATTACTTTAGCCAGCTATCTCAGACGTCCAGCCAGAGCTCCACGAGTGCATCACGCAAGTCTCGAGGAAGAAAGTGAGACCGATGATGTGGCACACAGATTCTGCAAGGCCCTGCAAGATGACGTTCCTCTTAAGACCTGCAGACCCCTTTGGAGACCTCTTTCGAAGTATGTGCCCCACTGCTTGCAAAATGCCGTCTGTGCAGATATGTGCCGGAAATACTCACCCGACGTATTCGCAAAGGAATTGTCCGTACTACTGGAACTGTGCAAGAATCGTCCAATTTTCCTCACCATCAATGAGACACTTGAGCTCCGTGGCCAACCAGCGATTGCTGTACTTGTGACGCTGTTTGGTTGTGATCTTCTCCAACGAAAGACTTATGGCAGATCTCCACGTCCTCCAGCAGTGCAACGCCGTTGCACTTGGTGTGCTTATCCAGGACGTTCTCGGGAAGCTTGGCAAGAGTTTCCGTGATGTGCGCGTCATTTCCTCGGACCCAATATCATGCACGCACAAGCAGCACAGAAACGTTAAACTATCCCATGCTGGCTTCATGGCACTTCAAAGACCCGTGCCATCTCCTGTACATCACACTCGACGAGGGAATAAAACTGATTGAGTTCGACGTTTTACAAGACTTTGTCGTTCACCTTCCCGCC